AAGCATAATAAACAGCCAATTATTTAACATCTCCACAGCCACACAGTCTGAATAAATGCTGAATAAATCCTTTCTATGTCTAGACTCTTACAGGCTAGAGGAAAGAAAAGGTGTTCTTTCCTAGACTAAATAAAAGGAGGGTCTGGTGCTTCATCAGAACAGTACGGGACTACACCCAGGCCAAATGCAACCATCTCTTCCTGTCTAGTCAATAACTACATGAAAAAAAAAAAGTGTTTATCTATCTTGTATCACTAGGCTGTAAAACTAGGAAATAGGCGGCTTGGATAAAAACTATATTCTGTGTGTTGTTTTCTTGTAAGTGATGAAAGTTCTGTCCATATTAGAAGCTTTCCTTTGCATTAGCAGGCTTGGGTTCAAAAAGCAAAATTATTATAATGCTATTGTTTTCACTCTCCCAGTTCAACTTGTCAGTTTTAGTAAACTCATCAAATGATAACTCAGCAGGAAAACTATACAGGCCTCCCAACCATAATTCAGTCTGGCCTAGGATCAAAAGGCAGATACATGAATCTCAGAACATCTCCTAATTTGTCTGTAAGGGAGCTAGACTTTAATATTAAAGGCCCTGAAAGGCCCTGGTAAGAACCAAAGCAAGAACCAAATCTGTGGTATTATGTTTTGATTTCTGCCACATATACTTCCTATTCCTAACATCACAGATGGTGACTCTAAAAAAAAAAAAAACACAATCAAACAAAAACAGCTTAGTAATACCTACTATCCCAGAATTTTTCAGGAAGCTAAAATTGACCCATCAATGGATTATGAATTCGGTTGGGTGGTTTGTGACCACAATTTTAAAAACATAGAATAAAACAGAATAGAAAATATGGCACATAGTAAAGGCAAGGCATAGCAAAGTTTCTTACACAAAACTCATTTCCATTTTTATGTACATGGATCTGTGTGCACTGGTCATGATATAAAATGTATTTCTTACTGCACTATGCTATAAGCTCCCTAAGACCGACCTTGCCTTGTTTATCTTCATATACCCCTTCCTCTTAACAGTTCAGTATGATGCCTACAAACAGTAGGTGCTCAACAAATATCTGTATCATTAAATGGCTTACATTTAGTCTTATTTCCCCAAATATTTTAGAATTATAAACGTACATATTATCACCCTTTTGGTCCATTATCTGCCTTAAATTAAATGCTTAAAAGTCTCAAGTCACAGAAACAGAAGGAAAAAATATATAGAAGTTATTCCTGTTCCCTTTGATCAAAGGGCCAGGCAAAAATTTAAAGACTGGCAAACAGGTACACAAAACACGTCTCACCAGCTCGTGTGTGGGACTCTTTCAAAGGAAATGATCGAGTAGCTCTCTGGTGAATAGGGAAGTATGACAAACTTCCCTGAGCCTCCTTGGAAAAAAAACAGCTTTTTTCTATTATGAAAGGGAAGTACACAGAAACATTTGGCAGCTCCTGAGTCCTTCCCAGGCTGCGTGATCCAGGCAGCCAGAGAAGTCCTAGCTGTGGAAAAACTGGAAGTTTTATGCACTGCTGGTGGGAATGTAAAATGGTACAGCCACTGGAGAAAACAGTATGGTGGTTCCTCAGAAAATTAAAATAGAATTTTATTTTATATGGTCCAACAATTTCACTTGTACATATATACTCAAAAAATTGAAAGCAAGGACTCAATGGATATTGTATACCCATGTTCACAGCAGCATTATTCACAACAGCCAAAAGGTGGGAAAAAAACAAATGTCCATTAATGGATGAATGGATAAGCAAAATGTTTTATATATATATATATATATATATATATATACACATACACACACACACACACACACACACACACACACAAACACACACACACATATATATGCAAAATGTAATACATACATCTATATGCAATGGAATATTATTCAGCACTTTAGAAAGGAAAAAAATTTCTACACATGCTACAAAGTGGACGAACCTTGACAACATTATGCTAAGTGAAATAAGCCGGTCACAAAAAGACAAATATTGTATGATTCCATTTATATGAGGTACCCAGAGTAGTCAAATTCATAGAAACAGAAAGTGGAATGTGGTTGCCAATGGGCTGGGGAAGGGAAAACGGGGAATTGTTTCATGGGTATATAGAGTGTTGGGAGCCATGCAGGCTGGCTTTACTGAAGCATAACTTGTTTTGCTTCTTGTTTTGCTTGCACCTGGAGGGTGTTTGCTTAATCTCGAGGTATGTGAAGAGAATGGCCAGTGCCTTGGGAGACACAATAAAGATAGATGGCTATCTGGGATTATGGAAGAAATTGTCCCCACTGACCTTAAAGTTTCTAGTAGATAATCAATGAATTACTCTGGAATGAGGTAATGCATATTTGTCCCTTCTGTTTTGTACACACCCTGGAGGTATATAATGGTGGTGGAAAATAAACTCGGGGCTTCAGTATTTACTGGAGTCCTCCCGGTAACTCTCTTCTCTGTCTCTTTTATTATTAATCCTCACTCCCCGCCTCAGGATTGTTCGACATATCGGCAGGTTCAGGTTCCGATAATAGAGTTTCAGTTCTGCAAAATGAAACAACTCTAGAGATTGGCTGGACAACAATGTGAATATATTCAACCCTACTGAATTAGATATACACTTAAAACTGGGTAAGATGAGAGGACAAGCCCAGACTGGGAGAAAATATTTGTAAAAGATACATCTAATAAAGGACTGTTATCCAACATATACAAAGTAATCTTAAAACGCAATAAGAAAACAAACAACCTGATTTAAAAATGGGCAAATTAACAGAATAAATCTTAAGTGTTATCACCACACCAAAAAAGGTAACTGTGAGATGATAGACGTGTTAATTAAGTTGATTGTGATAATCATATCACAATGCACACATATCTCAAATCATATTATACATTTTAAATATATACAATTTTATTTGTCAATTATACCTCAATATAACTGAGTAAAAAATAAAACTTAAAAATTAAAAAAAAAATTAAAAATGGGCCAAAGACCTTAACAGACATCTCACCAAAGAAGTATATTGGCAGATAAGTATATGAAAAGATGCTCCACTTCATATGTCATCAGGGAAATGCAAATTAAAACAACGAGATGTCACTACAGACCGATTAGATGGCCAAAATCTAGAACACTTGGCAACATCAAATGACGATGAGGACGTGGAGTAATAGAAACTTTCATTCATTGTTGGTGGGAATGCAAAATGATACATCCACTTTGGAAGACAGTTTGGCAGTTTCTTATAAAACTAAAAATACTCTTACCCTATGATCCAGCAATTGTGCTGCTTGGTATTTACCCAAATGAGTTTAAAACTTATGTCCACACAAAAATCTGCACACAGATATTTACAACCGGTTTATTCATAACTGTTCAAACTTGAAAGCAGCCAAGATGTTCCTTAGTAGGTAAATGGATACACTATGTTATATCCAGCTAATAAAATATTATTCAGTGCTAAAAAGAAATGAGTTATCAAGCCATGAAAAAACATAGAAGAACCTTAAATGCACATTACTAAGTGAAAGATGCCAAACTGAAAAGGCTATATATACTCTATGATTCCTTCTATATGACATTCTGGAAAAGGCAAAACTATGGCGTCAGTAAAAAGATCACTGGTTGCCAGGGATTGGGGAGAGGGAGGAAGGGAGGAATGAACAGGTGGAATACAGAGGATTTTTAGGGCAGTGAAAATACTCTGAATGATAAACTATAATAGTGGATATACATCATTACACATTACTAAATTCATAGAATGTTGACCAAGAGTGGACCTAACATAAACTATGGACTCTGGGTGGTTATGATGAGTAGGTTCATCAACTGTAATAAACTCTGGTGAGGGGTGTTGATAATGTGGGAGGTTGTATATGTGGAGGAAGGGGGTATATGGGAACACCGAACTTTCCACTCCATTTTGCTGTGAACCTGAAACTGCTCTAAAAAATAGTCATTAAAAATTGGCAAGACAGTAAATTTTATGTGTATTTTACCATAATTTAAAATTTTTTAATTTAAAATAATGAAATTCTAATACACACTATAGCATGGATAAACCTTGAGAACATTACGGTAATTGAAATATGCCAGTCACAGGACGACAAATACTATATGACCACTTATATGAGGAACCTAGAGAGTAGTCAAATTCCTAGAAACAAAACTAAAATGGTGGGTGCCAGGGGTTGGGGGAGGGAGAATGGGAAGTTATTATTTAATGGATGTGGAGTTTCAGTTTGGGAAGATGGAAAAATTGTGAAAATAGATACTAGTGATGGTTGCAGAACAATGTGAATGTAATTAATGCCACTGAACTGTACACTTAAAAATGATTAAAATGGTAAATTTTATGTTATATTGGTTTTGTCACAATTTTTAAAAAATGGAACACGAACACACACACACAGGACCCTACAAGCTAACAATATGCTGTAACAAGGGCTTCCTTTCAAAGCTAAATCCACTACTTTTATATTTTAAAAAATAAGTCTTAGAAACTGATGGTTACTAGATGGGAGGGGGTTGGGGGGCTGGGTGAGAAAGGTGAAGGGATTAAGAAGTACAAATTGGTAGTTCCAAAATAGTTATGGGGATGCATAAGGTATAGTATGGGGAAACTATAGTATGCAAAAACTATGTATAGTGTCAGGTGGCTACTAAACTTATCAGCGGAATCACTCATAAATTATAAAAATGTCTAACCACTATGCTGTACACCTGAAACTAATATAAAATAATATTGAATTTCAACTATAATTTTAAAAAAAATAGTCATGGGGATATAAAGCACAGCATAGGAAATAGTCAATAATACTGTAATAACTATGTACATTGTGAAATGGATAATAGACTTATAGGGATTATCATTTTGTGAGGTATAGAAATGTCTAATCACTATGTTGTTTTATACACCCGAAACTAATAAAAAAAATAAATAAGTCTTAGGACTTAGGGGAAAATCACTGAGTCACCTTCTTACCTTTAAAGAATGCAACTGGTAGATGAGACTATGTGAAGTATGAAGGCTTGTGCTCCCCCAAATCAGAGCACGTTTACCTGAAATACATGTAAAACAGAAAATGTGTTTTGTTGCTGAATAATCTTTCATTCAGTTAACTATTATTAAAGTGGAAAATGCATCACTTCTTAGAGGGCACATGGCTGCTACCTTGTGGCATACAGACAAGAAACCTGACCACCTGCCAACACTGAAAGTAAAAAAACAAAAAAGCTGAGAAGCACACAACTAAAGAAAAATGACTGACACTGTTATTGTTCAAAAATAGGTCTTTTAAATTATAGTATATTTATATATGACCTGTGTACATCATAGTTTTATATTGCCCAACACATAAGAACATATGAATAGTAGCTGCAATCCATATAAGGAGCAAAATATTTTACCCATTGATTCACTTCAAAGTTATCATTAAATACCTAAATTCTCTTCCGCCTCAGCACTAAAAAATGTTTATTATGCAGTGACCTGTCATTTTTTATTAACTTCTCATTATCTTAAGTATATTATTACCACAGTATCGTCAATGGCTATTTGCATGTTAAATTTTCCATTTAAAATGGTATTTTAAAATAAGAGATGGTTTTTCAATCTACATCAGTAAACCAGGAAGTGAGAAGCCCCTACAATTTAATACATGGGCTTTAAGTAATAGTGATTTTCCAGTCTCTATTATTAACCAATTTATTAATAACCCATCTCCAGGATACTGTTTTTTCAATAAGTTAACTTGCAATCCTAAAAGGGCAAGGAGGCTCCAAGTTTGCAGTGACAAGAGATAGCAATTCACCTAGAAGCACAGTCACAAGGACACATGTAAAACCCTGCTTGCACTGAGCGCTCAATACGACACAAAGCAGATCACAAAGCAAAGCAAACCCATCGTTTCACCTGTCCGCGGAGCCTGGGCCGAGCGTCCTAGCAGCTTCCGGTTTCCGCAGCGTGGCCTGGCACGTCACGGTTGCCCTGGAACCCCGCCCCGGCGGCCTCAGCCTGGTGCGGAAACACGAGTCTTCCCAGAGGCTTGTCCTCGCCCTGCCCGGCGCCGGCGTTCTAGAACGCGGGCTTCCAGAGCAGGCGCACTGTGGGACAGACCCAGCTGGCCTGTGACCCCAAAAAGAGAGGCCGCGGGAGGCGCTGCATTGGCAACTCCAAACAATAAGTCCAAGGAAAAGCAAACACCTACGTGTGGCTGCGTCTTCCTCAATGACTCGGTCCTTTGTGCTATCCTTAAATGTCTCCTGTACTTTTCTATCTGCTCGAGTCCTGAGTACTGCCGCTCATTGGAACTCCTGGGCAGTCGCTGCAAATGCGTGGAGGCCGGGGAAAAGAACGACATTCCAGAAAGCCAAGGGGAACTCAAGAGAAGTTGCTTGGGCACGGAAAGGCCATTAGGGAGCAAGGTCGTCACCGTGGGGCTCGGGGCAGCCACGCGCTCGGTTCCTCAGCCCCAGCGCCGGCCAGTTGCAGGGCAGCCACTGCGGCAGCCTCAGTTGTAACTTTTAATGCATGGCCGCGGCTCTGGAGGGAGAGGCGGGCTCCCGCAGGCTGGCTCCGTGGCCAGAGGACCCCCGGGGCCCAAGTCTCACCCGGCGGAAGGTGAGCCGGTCGGCGGCAAGCCGTCAGGTCAGCGAAGCGGAGTTGCTCCGGCCAGTGTGCTGCGTTGTCCCTGGCACAGTGATTTTTTACTCCCTCTGCCTTCTCCCCACTTGATCGCGCTCCTTGAGAACTGACGCTGTGTCTGTCTTTCATATTCCGTCTTCAACAGGGCCTGGCAAAGTACTTTCAAGAAATGTTTAATGAATAAATGAAACTGTCAGAGTGACTATTTATTATGGGTTTTCTTTCTTTTTTTCATTTTAAACTCATGTTATAATGTTATAACAGTATAGCATAGTCTGTTCTATTTCTCAAGTGCTTTCACATCCATTATTTCAAATAATCCTCAATATAAGCCTGTAAAGTAGAGCAGGAATCTTACCCCATGTTACCAAAAAGTAAACTGAAGATCAGAGCAATAATTCAGTCTTCCAATCAACCAATTCTGGTATGTTTTTGCAAATCTATGAGTATAGTTAATGTACTGAGATGTGATATGAGAAAATCATAGAAAGCAACCAGCAAAAAACCTGGTATATGGTAAGTAAGCAGTAAATGGTAATTGTTATTAGGCAGGAAGGAATATTGTAATATTTTCAAATATATCCAGATGAATAATTTTAACATCAACAAAAATGAGCCTCTATGCACTCTGATATGCAATGGGAAGTATGCAGCATCACTTCTGAAGTATGCTCATTAACTAAAAAAGAAAAGGAAAAAGAAATGTAAATCCGCTTAAACCTATAATTAACTACAAGATTAAGGAAATGTAGGGACCAAAATGAACATGTTATATGACACCACCAGGAAGCAATCAGCCAATTCCAGAATGTGGGAAATACTACAGACCAAATGACCCAATTTCTTTATTCAACAAATAAATAGCATCAGAGAAAAAGGGAGGATAATGGGAGGGAAATCTGTTATAAAGCAGGCTTGAGAGACACATTAGTCAAATGCAGTTCGTGGGCCTTGTTTGGGTCATAATTAGGACAAACTAACTTTAAAAAAATTTTTCTAAAAAGATTGGGAAACTTGGACATGGAATGGGTGTTAGATGACACTAGAGAATGGTAATTTTGCTATAATAATGTTATGTTGGTTATGTTTTGTTTTTAAGATTAGAGAAACATACCAAAATATTTACAGGCAAGTTGTATGATTTCTGGAATTTGCATTAACACTCCAGGCAAAAAAAAAAAAGTAAGGAAGTAGGAGAAAAAACAATATTGGCAAAGTGTTGATAATGTTGAAGCAAGGAAATGGGTACATGGCAAGGTGGTTGGCCCAGGTAGAGTATTTTGAGTGATCCATTTTGTTTTTTTTTTTAAAGATTTTTATTGGGGAATTGGGGGAATGGGAACAGTGCTGGGGAATTGGGGAAAGGGGAACAGACAAGTTGCTGTCGTTTTG